AAGACAATTTTTTTAATACAATGATTTATTGTTTTTGAATTTAAAGACATCCATCTCAAGTATCCCAAATATCCCTCCCAAACCTTGTAACCGATTTTTTTTTTATTTATGTACATTTATTTACAAATCGTAATTTCTTATACTATTTAAAATTTTAAGTATAAATCATGTTATGTTATGATAAAATATTCAAATATATCTAAATTTATTCAAATATGCAGGTATTTATCTAGAAGTCTACAATAAAGATTCCATTTAAATATTAAAAATAGTTATACTTTTTCGTCGTAAATAATATATTATTATTAATATTGTTCAATAAAACCAACTATTAAACATAAATATTTTACAATTTTTATAAAGAGAATAATTTTTAGAATTCTTTAAATATTAATATTATACTGCATTTTACTATTTCAGAGTGTAAATTATGAATAGATATCAGATTTTAATACCCATTTATTGTTAAACGGATGAGTATAGAATAAATAAGCAGAAAATATAATATAATAAATTAAATTACTCTGCGTATATTATCATCCTTAATATAAGGGAAAAACTAATATCTATACTGCCATTGATAATTTAAGAAGGTATAAACAAATATAATGATATAATATATGAGTGTTTTTAAGTTTAATAGGTACAAAACAATTGAAAATTCATTTCTTACTGAGACAATTTTAGACGAGTCCTATTGTATATTATTACCTACTTAAAGCAAGAAGAGTGACTCTTAATATGTCGATGTGTCATTTACATTATACACAGACTGGTAAAAGTYAAATATATATATTAAGAGATTTAAATTATATATATTGTATCTATTTAACGACGTAAAGTAATATTACACTTTGCACTTTGAAACTCAGTTAAAATATATTTTCACTAGATGATATTATAGGGTTTATATTATTAAGTTTACATTCCATAAAAATCAAATTAAAAACTATATTAATCTAATAATAACGCCAATTATRTCACACAACCAACTTTCGTAAATCGTAGATTTTAATTATTTCATTACCTAACCCTTACACTGAGTGTACAAAAGAGCTCAAGCTAAGTTAGTTTTATCGAATATACACAGTTACA